CAAGCCGCTTCTCAGCAGAGACAAGGAGAGGCAGGTGTCACGTGGACACCTAGGAAGTAAGGAACTTGGGGCTACAGCTGCTGAAAAGAGACAGAGATCGTCCCTGGATCCACAGGGAAGAAAGCCTTCCCTGAGAGCCTGTGCTGATTCCAGTCTGTAGCCCCTGGGAGAAAAGGAACCTGTTCTTCAAAGCCGCCCCCTTGTGGTCACCGCTACAGCCGCACTCAGAGACTCGAGACCAACCCTAAGCCACTGCTAATGCACCCGTCCTGACTCACTGCTGACTGTCCACCTTCCTAATGCCGCGACCCTTCAATACAGTTCCGCATGTTGTGGTGACCCCCCAACCATGACATTATTTTCGTTGCTACTTCATCGCTCTACGTTTGCTACTGTGATGAGTCGTCATGTAAAGATCTGATAGGCAGGATGTATCTGCATTGTTACAAATTGACCATAAGGAAAGCATAGTGATTCACCACAAAAACAATGTCATTTTATATCGTGAAATATTGATTTCTTTTTTTATTAATTTGTTTTTGAAATAGTTATTTCTAATGACAAATAAACGACGTTCTGTCGTGAAGCATGGCGCAGCACGAGTCGCAGTCTTAATAGAACAACAGTAAATGACATTGCTACATCTTGTGACAGTATGCATAAAAAGCCAACGTCAGTTCGAAGGTTGAGATAGCTTCTTTCTCAGCAGATCAGCTTATCTGCATGTGGGCGGACCCGTCTGGAGACGGATAGAGGAGTGGTGTCCGGGTCCCTAAGACCCTCAGAAATATGTGTTTTCTGATGGCCTTAGGCCACCCCTGTGAAAGGGTCAGCAACCCCCAAAGGGGTCTCGACCCACAGGTTGAGAACAGCTGCTATATAGGGTTTCTTTGGACGTTATCAATCTTTATAGGAATGGATAGCCTTATCTTTCTCCCTAGGCGCAGCTAGTGGGTTTGAACCACCAAACTTGAGGGTTCCTTAAGGACCGAATAAACCAAACTCACTGCCATCGGTCCCCCATTAAACGCACCACAAACTTAAACTCCGCGCCGCAGCGTCAGTGCTGACTCATGGCGATCCTACGAGCCAGGGTGGTTTCCGTTGTGGTTCCCTCACTCTGACTTTTTTCAGGAGAAGAAAACCTCATCTTTCTCCCAAGGAGAGGCTGGTGGTTTCGCACGGATCTTGCAGTTAGCGGGCCAATGTGTAACCAAGGACCCCTCAGGAGATCATAGGAAATACAAAATGAATGAACACAAAGAAAGATAAAAAGTATAAACAGGCCAATAATACAAGTAGCAATGGGAGACATCAAACTCCTGGCAAAAAGAAAGCCCAGAACCAGATGGGTTCAACAGGGAAGTTTGTCTAAAAACATTAAGAGGTGACATCATTCTACCCAAACTCTTCCAAAACAGAGAAGAGAATGGAAACTCCCTGACTCACTCTCGTAAGTCAGTATCACCCTGACTTCAAAGCCAGGTTAAAAAAGAAATAAATCACACCAATACCCTTCATGAACACAGGCACTAAAAACTCCCAACAGAATTCTAGTGAACGAACTTCAACGTTCAGAAAATGATACACCACGATCAAGTAGGGTTCACACCAGAAATGCAAGGGAGGTTCAACCACAGAAAATTAATTGGTGCAATCCACCACAGAAATAAGACAGTGGGAGACGTTGGACAGTGTAAGACATGGCAAAATAATAATAATCTATAAATTATCAAGGGTTCATGAGGAAGCGGGGGCTGGGATGGAGGGGAAAAATGAGGAGCTGATACCAAGGACTCAAATAGAAAGAAAATGTTTTGAGAATGATGGCAACAAATGTACAAATGTGCTTGACACAATGGATATATATGGATTGTGGTAAGAGTTGTATAAGCCCCCAAGAATATGATTTTTTTTAAAAAGGGAGATAAATAAACAAAATATAGAACTTATTAGAAGGTACTAAGAAACAACTTCTGAAGAAAAGTTAACCAGGAAAATATAAAGTTGGCCAAATCTGCAGGCCTTTGTCCTACTTTATCAGCCAATTGAAATAAAGCGGATGCTGCAATTGAAAAAAGCAAAGAAAAAAAAAGAAACAAGACAGTGGGAACGAACCCCACATTCATCAACACGGATGAGAAAGACACTTGGTGAAATTCTACAGATTCTCAGAAAAACAGAACAGAAGGAAAATTCTTCGATATAATTGAATGGATGCATACAAAATCAGCTGCTAATGTTATTCTAGAAGGAGAAGGAGAAGGATTGAGCTCCCCCTCTGAGAATCCCAACAATGCCCATCATGACCACTTTTATTCAGGAGGGTGCTGGCAGCCCTGCCCTCAGCAGGAAGGCAATAGTAATGCATAAAAAAAGGATATCTGATTAGGAAGGAAAGCCTGTTGCTGTTCATGGATGACACGATCTTACACGTGTTGTTGTGACGTGCCATCAGGTCGCTTCTGTCTCCTGAGTGATCCTCTGGACAACAGAACGCAACGCAACCCAGGCCCGCGCCCTCCTCCCAATTCTCCCCAGGCTGGAGGCCAGTCGCAGCCACCGTGTCCGTCCATCTTCTGGAAGGCTTTCCTCTCTTTGCTGCACCTGTACTTTACCGAGTACGACCCTATACTCCGAAAACCTCACCAAGTCTACCAGGATGGTTCTTGTCCTACCAGAGGAACTTAGTAGTTCTGGGTACAGCGTCAACGTGCAAAAATCATTTGGGTTCCTTCACAAACAGGAAGGATTCTAAAGAGGAAATCAAGACATCGATACCATCTTTAAGAGCCTCTCAGAGAATAAAATGTCTTGGCAGAAATCTAGCTGAGATGTCAAAGGTTTATACGACGACAACTATAAAATCGTACTATGAGACGAAAGGAGACCTGCGGAACTAGGTGGACATGCTGCGCTCACGGAGAGACTTCATACTGTGACCATGTCTTATTCCCCAGAGTCATCCTGAACTAACAGGAAGCTATTCTGAACCAAATTTGTGGTGACGTGAAATTACTTATGGCTCCTCAGTGCATTTTTCGGTAACTCCCACCCAAGGAGTGGATGGGGCCACGCAGATACGACTGAGGAAGAGCTGCCTCCTCAACCTTGATGGTGAACGTGGAATAAAGCTCTGAGGGCCTTCAATGCCAACGTGGCATGACTCAAAATGAGAAGAGGCACTTGGAAGCATCCATTAACGATGAACGTGTGGCACGTAGGAAGTATGAATTGAGACAAATCGGAACTCAAGAAAAAGGACATGAAACTCAAAGATTGATATCTTCGTAATTAATGAGCCAAAACGGACAGGCATTGGTTATTTTGAACCAGACAATCACATGGTCTCCTCTGCTGGGAAGGACAAATTAAAGAGGAGTGGTATCTTAATTCATCTGTCTTGAAGTGCAATGCTGCCCGTGATGGGATGCCATCTATATGCTTACAAGGGAAACCAGTTAACATGTCCATGGTGCAAACTTGCACACTGACCACTAATGCCAACGATGGAGAGAGTGAAGATTTCTACCAATGTCTGCAGTCTGCAATTGATCAAACACACAATCAAAATGCACTGCTAATGACTGTGATTGGGAAGTGAAAGGAGGAGACAGAGGATCAGCAGTTGGAAAATACGGCCGTGGTGACAGAACCATGGCAATCCCGTTAAAACTGTGCCAGACCAATGACTCATGCACTGCAAATGCCCTTTTTCCCCACAACACGAATGGTAACTACGCACATGTACTTTACAGGGCGGGATGTTGCGGAGCGATATCATGGGCACTAAGAGAACAGGAAGGGACCAAAGGCAAAAAACAAACAAACAGATGCAGGAATGAGTCAGAAACTACAGAGAAGCTACGGTGACTAGAAGAAACGATGGAGAGAGATTGCTGAACAGATGATGCCAAAGGGCGGCTCAGGAAGACACAGCATTATAGTGAAACGTGCTCAGACCCAGGATCAACCCGAGAAAAGACTCCCACTCTGGATTCTGAAGAACACACGGAACATGGAACGAAGGATACGGCTGTCCTGTAGGGCTGCTTCGAGTCAGCATGGATTTGCGGGCAGAGAGGTGTATACAGAAGCGCCTCCAACCCCTTGCAGCCTCAGAACCTGGGCAGGGACGGTCTTCAGGAGCTTTCCAGAGCTGGACAGGCAGGCTCTGTGCTCCCCATCAGGCACAGCAGCAGCAGCCCCCGACGTGTGGCTGTGGATTCTCTCCTCTAAGGCCGTGCGAACCAAATCTCGAATGACCGCAAGCATGATACAGGGTTTTGGGGGCTGCAGACTTTTTAGGGGAGCACATTGTCTCTCCCTTCTCCCGTGGAGCAACTGGTGGGTGTGAACCAACAACCTTGTGGTTAGCAGCCCGGTTCCAGAAGGCCAGGCATCAGCTCAAAGTGCAGTTCTCCACTCGGTCAGCAGGCGGCCTGCCTCTCACTTCCTGCTTGCGCTGGCAGATGAACCAGGATGTGTGTGTGTGGTGTGCGGTGTGTGTGTGTGTAAATTGGTGTCTGCCTTGTGGAGCTGTCAGGAGGGAGCTTGCTGGTTTTGTGGAGAACAATGGCTGCCTGTCGCCAAGGCCAGCAGCTGCCCACCGGCTCTAGAAAGCCCTGGAAACAGCAATGCAGTGTATACTGCGCTGCGGTGACAAGGGAGGGAAACGGCCCTGCCATCCATCACAGCCCCAGGCTTCCATGGGGTCCTGGGCCTCCTGTCCCTCAGCCACCACCTCCCACCTGGCTCCAGGTTAGCCACGCTACACCATGCCCACTCTCGCTGCGAGTAGAGAAAGACACCTGACTATCAGTCAGGAACAGAGAAGACCCACTAAGGGGCTGTGCCCAGGTGCCCGGAGGTCCGGTCAGGGGGATTCTTTCAGCTGGGAAAGAAAGCCGATGCCTGGATCCTATGTTATCTTCATAAGTGGGTGCAGCCCGGGGTCAGGGCACCTGCAGTTCCGGGTGAGCGCTGGCCCCTGATTCTGCCTCTTTCTGTCCCTGAAGTGTGTGGGTCCTGAGCTGTCCCCGTCTCTGTGGGGCCATCGTCACAGGCTGATTCTGCACAGAACCCCTCCCTCCAGACTTCCTTCGCTCGCTGCACTTCCAGCAGGAACCTCAACAGAGTCCTGGTTGTCACCGAGCAAACCTGGCTCCCAGCACCCGGCTATGGAGGGGAGAAGGCTGTCCGTTTGTGGCAGCTGATTGTGGGGAAGCAGGTCACCAGGTCCTTTTCCTGGTGTACGGGAACCTCTGGCCGCTCAGCGAGCAGCCATTTCACAGCACCTGGGGAGCCCTCAAGGAGCCCTGGTGCGGTCATGGTTACACGTTGGGCTGTGAACCTGCAAGGTCAGCAGTTCAAAACCACCAGCAGCTCATTGGGACAAAGACGAGGCTGTCTACTCCCGTCAAGAGTGACAGTCCTGGGAACCCTCAGGGGCAGTTCCGCTGAGCCCTATACTATGTCCAATTCTGACTATGAGTCAGTATTGCCTCCACGACAACTGAGTTTGGTAGCTGCTTTTTCTTTTGGGTCTGGGGACTCCTAATGAACCAATGCTTTCGTCAAACACAAAGAAAAGCCCCCACGATTTCACGAGGCCATCTGACAGGCAAGTGGCGGCTTTGTCGGAGCTCCTGGTTTTTCCTGGCTGTGTGCGCTAGCAGCGCCACCACTGCCCGGGCCAGCCTGTCCACCGGGAACAGCACCCAGGGCAGCGTTGACCTCTGCCTCGAGGTCCCGACTCAGGTACGTGGGTGGGGGCCATAAGATGCGTGCCCCAAATTCTGGCAGCTGTTCTACCTACCCTTCACCGCCAACCCTCAGGCAGGAGGACCTCGGCGGCGGTGCTCCCTCCGGGGGATGCCGGCTGTGGTGGGGAAGATGGTGTGCCTGTGTGTGGTGTTCCCCAGGTGGTCTGGAGCATGAGCCCCTTGGTGCTCGGGCTGGGCTGTGCCAGGCGGCTGCACTCTTGGGTGGCTCAGATCAACCCGGCCCCCCATCTGCAGCTCAAGGCCAGATCAGGTCAGTGCTGACAGTCCCACCCACCCGACCTGAGGCTACCTGAGCAGTGGGGGCGGTGAGGGGGGCAACACTCACGGGTCACAGGTAACTTGTCCTCTTCCTCTCCACCGTCCTCATCCTCAGTCACTGGCGGGTTCTCGAACTCTGAGAGGTCTGTCTGCAGCAGCCGAGAGATGGCTGCGTGGGCCAGGGCCGAGGCCAGTGCGGGCGGCGTGCTCCTGGGGACGGACGTGGGATGGGATCACCAGAGCTTCTCCAGAGACCCGTGCCCCCTCTCCCCTTCAGAGCAGGAAGCTGGCCGGTGCTGCATGTGCACCCACGTGGCCGTCCAGGAGCCCAGCAGGCTGGCACAATGCAGGCACCTGCGCACAGCAACAGGCTGGGAGCCCACCGGAGCCGGACACGGTGGCGTGCCAGTTGGGGGAGGGTGGTATGTGAGGTGGGGGACACAAAGCCACATGAGCTGTGGGCACGGCCAGGGAGGAGTCAGTGATGGCAAAAAACCAACTGCCATCGAGTGAGCCAGTTCTGAATAAGGCGACGCTGTGGGAGAGAGAGCACTGTCTTTGTGGGTTTCCAAGACTGTAACTCTTTCCAGGAAAGGAAGACCACCAGAAATGCCATCTGGTCACTGTGTGGCTCCCTCAGGCCCAAAGAAGGGAGGGATGGGGAATGCTTGGGGACCTGGGGCTCAGAACCATCGTCTTGGGGGACACCAAGGTCAATGCGTGTAAAATAGTCCACATCACAATGTTCTTACAAGCTACTTCAGGGAGCAGTGACTGGGGCCTTACAAGCTCATGATGGGCCAGTTACGGTGCAACCACTGATCTCTCCCTGCCCAGACATCGTGAAGAAAACCCAGGCCACACAGAAGAGAAATGGTCCACAGGACCACTGGGCACAAGAACCACTGACTTCATGACCTGGAGACCAGAAGCACTAGATGGTGCCCCGGCTACCACTGGGTTCACAACAGAGGGTCTTGGACAGAGTGGGAGACCAATAGAGCCGAATGTGCTCAGGAAGAAAGGTCAGAGGGCAGGGAGGGTTAGGGAAGGGGGGATGAATGGACACAGGAAGTACTGGGAGGACGTGGGGAAGAGGGTGCCGGTTACTTCATGGGAGGGCCATGCATGTCACGGAACAAAATGTGTTTGAACTGTGGGATGGAAAACAGATTTTCTGTTAACTTCCATCCAATTCATAAACAAATCAAGCAGCAGTGCAGCACCCAGAGACTGGGGGTGGGGGAGGAGGGAGCCCTGGGGCACCAAGTAGGTGGGAGAGGTTCCAGAAGGGGGGGGGCTGGGGGGTAATTGGGGGACCTCTGGGGCTTGTGGGGAAGAGGGGAGCCCTGTGGACTTATAAAATGTGGGGAGCTGGGGCGGGGTGAGAGGGGAGGGCCTGGGGCTCAGGGTGTGGCATTTTAAAGGGCACTCATGCCCTAGGGGTGTAGTGGTTCCGCTTTGGGTTGTGATCCGAAAGGTCAGCAGCTTAAATCTACCCACCACTCTGTAGGAGAAAAATGAGACCGTCTACTCCTGTAAAAAAGTTACAGCCTCCCTCGTGGAATGATCACTGACGATCAGGGTGCTACAGCAAGAGGAGGTGCAGGAAGCAGATGGTGCCTGGCTATCAATCGGAATAGTGTCTGGGGTCTTTAAAGGCTTATATTCCAACAAGCAGCCGTCTAAGCCAGGAGCCAACCAAGTCCACATGGAAGAAGCTCACCAGCTTGGGTGATCCAAAGACGACAATAACAAAATTCAAATATGACAAAGGGAAAAGTATAAGAGCCCAAATCCCGGACATCCTATTTGTTGAAGGTTATGGAGGGCAGTGGGAGCCCCAAAAACCATCTGCAGAATACCTAGTCAGATCAAGCCGCTGGTAGGTTCCCTCTAGCCACAGGCCAGGGTCTCGAACAGCCTTACTCCCCAACAGAGAGCACTGTAATCATGATTATACTGGCTTGAGGTGGGTACTTGGTCAGTTGACCTCCCTCTTGACCCAGCCTGAAATTATTCTAGGTGCAGATAGTTCTTGCTTGCTCCATGACAAAATTTCCTCCCTGGCCTTTTAAGTACTGATGGTGGTCTTTTCTTTCTTACTCGTTATTTATACTTTTATCTCTGTATTACTATTTTATCCTCACCGCTTTATTCTGTGTTTATTTTGTATTGTTTCCGTTCGGTTTTCTAGTCTGTGAGGCACAGAGGGAGCAGATGCAGCGCTATAAGAACCATTGCAAGGGTTTATAGGGAGGAGCGGGAGATACGGAGGGTGAGGGGTTGGGGGAGCAAACACTGTATGTGGGAAGCGGAGGGAGTCCGAGAACGGATGGTGATTACATAACTCATTTTAAAAGCGATTTAACCATGTGGGGAGGGGGTGGGGAGAAAATATTCTAAAATTGATTTGTTGTGCTGATTGCACAACTCTGGTTGATATGCTTGACCTACAGGATCTGGTGATACGTGGATTAAGTGCCAATAAAACGGTTTACAAAAAATAAAGAGTTGCAGCCTCTGAACTTCACGGGGGTGGGGTGGGGTGGGCAGTTCTACTCTGTCCTATTGGGTCGCTACGAGTCAGTTGGATGCTGTGGTTTTTTGGCCTCGAGAGGAGGAGGGACCTCGGGAAACTGGTGGGTGATGGTGGCAGGAGGGCAGAGTCGGGGGACAGGCAGTGAGGCCCAGCTGGACGGCTTAATCAGCCAACCAGACAGGGAGGGAAGGACAACGGGACCGCTGTGGGTGCTGTGATGGGCTGGACAGGAGATGGAAGGGGGCCAAAACGAGGCTGCCAGGAACACGGCCACCCAGACAAGGTCTTGTGATTGCTTCAGCCTGACTGCCAGGCCACGGGGTGGAAAGCTCAGTGGCTGTGTGGCCCTCTGTCA